ACAAGACAAGGTAAATTGTTAGAAGAATTCCTCGCTTGGAACATTTAGCTTGCGTTTGGTTGCTGTTTCCTGAAAATAACTTGGAGATGCTCTGAGTTGTCCCATCTACTGCTTTGATTCTTTGGATTCCAACCATTCTCTCGCTTTAAGAAAAAACAAATCATTGTTACTGAGGTCTCTGTATTTTACAGCTGCCCTTTTCCTCCAAAATAAAACAATAAAAACCAAAAACAAACAAAAAAGATGCAACTAACATTCCCAGCAGCAGAATATAGGCGTTCTAGTTGCTCCACATTTTTACCATTCCTGGTATTGTCAGTCTTTCTCAGGTAGCCCCAATGATGTTGGGAATTAATACATTATGGTCGTCTCAGTGTTAATTGGCCTCATGACGAATACTGTTGAGCAGTTTTTTATAAATGTATTAGCCACTTTGTCTGTTAAAATGTATGGCCCATTGAGCAGTCTTTTTCCTTTTGATTTGTAGGAATTTATTTATTCTGGATATGAGATCTTTGACAGTTGCAAATACCTTCTCGCATTTCATGGTTCACTTTAACAGTCTCTTAATCATGTTGTTTGATAACCTGAAATTCTTTTATTCTCCTTTTAAATATGATTTTTATGAATTTTAGAGAGAAAGGAAGGGGGAGAGAGAGATACATATATAGAGAGAAACATTGATGTGAGAAACATTAATCAGTTGCCTCCCATATGCACTCTGACCAGGAATCAAACCTGCAACCTGGGTATGTGTCCTGACCAGGAATTGAACTTGCAACCTTTCAGTGCATGGGATGACGCTCAGTCAACTGAACCACACCAGCCAGGGCTGAATTTTTTAATTTTAATATACCCTAATGTATCATCTTTTATGGTTAGTAATTTGTATGTCCCTTTTAAGAAATCCCTGCTACACCAGGTTGAGAATTATATCCTCTTTTCTTCTAGATCAGCACTGTTCATAAAAACATATGTGAGTCACAAATTTGAACCACATATATAATTTTAATTTTTAAGTAGCCACATTAAAAAACAGAACAAAACTGGTAGAATTAATATAAATAATCCTATCTAAAAAAGAGGGAATGTGCTAATTGACTGCCCCGCCCTCAAAGATGGCAGCGTCCATAGCCTCAAGATGGTGGTGCCCAGTCCCCTCAGCTCCACCGGGGTGGCAGGTGAGCCTGCCTCCGGAGTCCCCCAGTCCTCTCAACCCCCCAGCTGCCCAGGGCTGGCCCAAGGCTCAGGTAACCAGGTGTGATGGGAGCATCGTCTTCCCCTGATCACTGAGTCGCCTCCCACCCCTGAGGGCTTCCGGACTGTGAGAGGGGGCAGGCCAGGCTGAGGGACCCCCCTCCAGTGCATGAATTTTCATGCACCAGGCCTCTAGTATAATTATAAGAAGATATTTTTTCTTCATTCTTTAAAAATAAGATTTCAAATTCCAGTGTATATTTTACACTTACAGCACATCCCATTTTGAACTAGCCACGTTTCAAGTGCCTGTAACCACGTGTGTCTAATGGCTGTCATGTATCATATCAGCCCCACTTAGGAGCTTTAAATATCATACCACTTCCATTGAACCCTGCCATCCATGTGTAACTGTTCTCTGTGTGTGGCACGAGGCACCATACCTAGCAAGGAGAGGAGGTAGCTTATAGAAATAAAAGATCCTCAGGACCCACAGCCAATCTGGGTCCCTTAGGAACTAAAACAGGGCCCCATGATGCTGGCACATTCTAAGTTTCTCATCTCTGCATAGTCTCAATTTATTTCATGGGCATTTTTTCAACATGACAGGGGACAAGGCACCCAGTTGTTCTGGAGTCACATCTCCCTCCACAACTTCCAACAGATGAGAAAAGATAAATCTAATTCTGTTTAGAAATAGCCCAGCTCAGGTCACATTCCTGTACCCCACTGCCGGGGAGATGATTATTTTTGGCCAGGTCATTATGTGCCCATATTTATAATCATGGGACAGAAATAATTTACTACCAAGGGGAAGCTACCGTAGTACATATATCATGTCTGTTTCTTCCATGAGACATGTTTAGGGAACTGGGGCTATTCCTTGTGCCCTGTAAGCACTAGATAAATATTTGTAAATAGCAGAAGAATAGTCTCCTAACTTGACAGGAGGGTTTAAGACAGTGATGGCGAACCTATGACACGCGTGTCAGAGGTGACACGCGAACTCATTTTTTTGGTTGATTTTTCTTTGTTAAATGGCATTTAAATATATAAAATAAATATCAAAAATATAAGTCTTTGTTTTACTATGGTTGCAAATATCAAAAAATTTCTATATGTGACACGGCACCAGAGTTAAGTTAGGGTTTTTCAAAATGCTGACACGCCGAGCTCAAAAGGTTCGCCATCACTGGTTTAAGAGAAGGCCTAAAGCAGGAGGAATATAAATGCATTTGTTTGGAACTCATTTCTGTGATATACACGTAGTTTATCACTGTTTAGAACCATTGACTATTAGGGTTGGTTAACACTAAAAATAACAGCATTTTCTTTGTAATCTCCGTTTTCTGCCAATATCTAGGTATTAGAAGAAGTATACTGGTGTCTTTTGTAAATATTTCTCTCTTTTCCGCATCCAACATGGCTAGAGAGTGGCCCAGTTCTTGAGTAGGGGTGGCTGGGGATTGAGAAAATGAAAGAAAGAGACAGACACAGAGATGGAAGGAGAAAGCTGGGGCCAGATGGGACCATTGTCCTCTGATGGAGAGACAGTGACCCAGAGCCAATACAGCGCCTTTATTTTATACAGCAAAAACCAGGAAGTTTTACTAAAGGTCAAGACAAAGGAGATTATGTGCATTCTTGGGTGGGCCTGAGTCATATTCATTCCTGGTGCTTGGCTGGATTTAGATAAAGAAACCCACCCCCTGGCACCTGGGCTGAAGGTCAGGCTAACAACACTCCTGCCCCTGGCAAGGCGTGTTTCCAGGACATGGCTCTGCCAATGCCACTGGATTCAGCTGACAATAATTAAAGAAATGCCCATGTGCCTTCCCAGGCGCTCTCTACAGTCTTTGGTAACTATGTGCCACTTTATAGAATTTTTTAGTGTGACTCTGTCTTATCTAACAGTACAATCCTTTTGGCCATTAGTCTAACTTTAGTGATTTTTCTTCATTAATTGTTTTTTTTTAAATAGTGCAAAAAAGGAGACTGTTCTTTTATATTGAAAGAACATTTTTTTCCTTCTTTAGAATTTATCTAACTTCCTCTCTGAGTGAGGTCTTGGTCTCAATTTATTAGTTCAGTCATTTAGCACAAAATGTAAAATTACAGTGTGCTCTGTGCTAGTTGGAGCCAGAACGCTGTTCCCTGGGATGCTGAATGTTCTACTTTTAACTCATATTTCTTCAGAGCGAACATGTTCCCCCTTTGGGCAGACAAATGCCTCCTCTCGCCATTATGTTCATTCATCGGGAGAATTGTGTGAGTGGAAGGACTTGGAGGAGGAAAAATAGAAGAAGAATCTTTCCTTAGTTTTCTTCTTTTAGGACCTTTCAACAAGATTGAATGAGAAAAACTACCCATTTTTGTTTTTTTTAAGCATAACATCTGGGTGAAAGTATTTATTTTGGCTGTAGAAAAAAACCCTGATTTTGGTCTACCCAAAGCAAATTATGTAGGGTCAGGTAGACAATATAAAAGGAAATGATGTAGCCTCAATTATTTGGATGGTAGAGAATTTATTGTTGTGGTATAATTTTCTAGGTGCCAACAGCACAAAATATTTCTTACCTCCTGCACACTGCTCTCCTAGTGGCTGTTTCTTTCTTATGTCATCCCAAACCTCTCCCCACCCCACTTGCTGTGTTTGTTCAGACATCCCGAAGCATATTTAATAGTGTGCGTAACTGTAGCTTCAGGGTAATGTTAATGTGCAATTCTCATGGAATCCCAAACCACAAACATGATATCTGGGATTTCTTTTCTTTTTGGTATTTGTTTTATGGACCCGATTAAGAAAAGTTAGTAGGGTTTAAAAATGTTTTGCTTTTCTTACTGTTTCAAGGTAAACAATTTAATCTTAGCTTATGGTTTTCATTCATTTTAAATTTATAATCATAATATAACAATAGTTCATACACTTTAGAAAAAAACTTTATACATGATGTCATTACCTTCCAAACTATTATTCTGTGTGTTCCTTTTCAAGCTTTTGCTATATGCACATTTTTATGCCATTGTAATTATTATTCAATTTTTAAATTAGTGGTTTTTAGTAATTCAATGAAGTAATGCAAATGAAGTAATGCAAATTTAGTAATGCAAATGAAGAATATTTACCATTGATTTAGTTTAGGTGATCACCTAGGATTAATGAGAACCAGAAAATGACAATTTTCTAGAATCATTGGGATTTTAAAACTTGTCACACTAAGATGATGATTTTAAATACTGGCTTATTATTGGCAGTAAGAATTTTTATCTCTTAATGTTGAGTAAGGTTCATAATTGTTATGTGCATGACAGCAGCCATACAGAATCTTTCTAACTTTGTAAATATTAGGTTTGATTGTGTTGCTAGGAAACCTCCCTCAAAATAAATAAATAAAACACGCAGGAAACAGATTATAAAATCTAAATTTTGTTTCATAAACAGTGCATTCTGGGTTACATACTATTATCAAAACAGTTGCTCGGAACAGAAAAAGGGAACTCCACTATGCTCTTATCATTTCCTGTTTCATTTCACACTTTCTTTCTTGGGTCAAGAGTTTTTGTCCCTCCCTAGGCGTTGCTTTAAATCTCTGGGAAGGTCTGTTATGCATTTACTATTCCTGGATTGGTTAAGATCCCTTTTAAGTGTGTGTGCTTTGCTTTGTTCTCTGACAAGCTTAGGTCATTTGAGCAACATCCTGCTACTGTTAAAAAAAAAAAAAGAGCTGAGTCATGCTGGAGCCTTCTCATGTGGCTGATGCAAACCTGGAGAATTTGCATCATCATTTAGCTGGAGTAAGTTGGTGTGACAGGCAGGAGCTTAAATACCAGCCCATGAGGAAGCTGAGCTGATCTTAATGATAGGGCAGCCGCCCGCGACACAGCACAGAGGTAGTCGGAGGAGGTGGAGGAGCAGAAGCCCCAAGAACTCACAGGTGGTCCTGAGGAGTAATTAAATAGCTGTGAAGGAGAAAATATACCTCTGAGTTTTTACCTGTGATCACAGTAGCACTGAGAGGCAGTCTGGGAGCAAGGAGGAAAAGATTGGTTCCTCACACCAAGAGACATCAAAGTTGAAAGTTTCAGGTTTTTTGTTTTTTCTTTTTTTTTTCTTTTTTCCCCTCCTCTGTTTCATTTTTCCCACGGTGTGTCACTACAATGACCAGAAAGCCTGTCGTGGCCACCATCCCCAATGGAGGTTACCTGCAGGGGACTGTTAAAGGGAGTCTGCCTTCCCCGGGGGGCAAGGAGCCCCCTGGGCAGGAGACAGTGATGCTGAAGAAGAAAATCACTTTGCTGAGGGGCATCTCCTTCATCATTGGCACCATCATTGGATCGGGAATCTTCATCTCTCCTAAGGGTGTGCTCCAGAACACGGGCAGTGTGGGCTTGTCTCTGATTGTCTGGACCGCCTGCGGGGTCCTGTCACTGTTTGGTGAGTGCAGCTTCTTCTCAGGGGGTGTGTCTGTGGAGCCCGGCAGTTCTCTCTCCGGGAAAGCAAAGGGTAATGTTTAAGCAGTGAATGAAATGGCCAAGGCTGTCCTCCAAATTTTCTGATTTCTGTTTAGATATGCGGACTACGCAAACACAGTGTCCACTGTTGATAGGATCCTGAATTCCTTCAAGTCTATTCCTGCAGGCTGTCTTCCCTTTTCCTAAGACAGACTGTTTCCTGACTTTTCCCTGGGGCGACCAAAGCAAAGGCTAACTTTGATGACCCAGAAAAATCCATGCGAGCTTTCTGTCCCAGGTGGCTGGCTCGGCTGTGTGCGTCCGGGGCGTCTCAGCAGCTGGCACGCTGAATGAAACACCTGTGAAGTGAAAGCTGGCGTGGCCTATTTAGACACGGAATGAGTGTTCAGCAGAAGTTTTACTGACTTTGTTTTTTTTTTTTTTTTTTGGCAAAACAAATGGGTGGCAGTCTTTTCCTTTTAATTTTTTTTAACTTCATGTGCTTGTCAATTCCTAGGATTCTTTCAAAAGTCCTTGATGTGGAAAGATGTGTGATGGCACATGACTCAATCACTATCATGAGTGGATGTATTGCAAGGGTCTGAGCATACTACAGATTTTTTTTAACCTTCCATCTCTCACCTATAAATTTTTGCAATGTAAACTGTGAAAATGGAATTGGGCATTAGTTTGCTGTGCTTGCTCAGATCTGTTTTCTTCATTTATAGTCCCCTTGGTCTCTAGCGATGCAGACCATTTGTCTACCTGTTCACTGAATGGAACTGCTAGGAGAAATATGATTATTAATTTTCCTTCGAGATCAAGATTTCTTCTATCGATTTGACAGTTAATAGTAAAGAAGTAATAAATGTCCCCTCATGAGGTGAACAAATTACTAGAGTTACATGAGTTAGTTGTAAAGGTGACAAAAACTGGTGAATGGTCCAAAAGAATAAGTTTCTTTTTCGCTGTAGGGTAAATGTTTAAGATATATTTGCTTTTCTCTGGCAAATTGTATGTTTTGATTTCAAAAGATACTACTCTGTAAAGGTACTAACTCTGTTATAACTCTAGGACCAAGTAAGTACTAGCTCTTGGTTCTGCACATATCAATCCATTCATTCTTAAGGCCTTGCGATGTTTTAATTCATTGGTTTGAACATTCAGCAGTTCTCAACCTGTGGGTCGCGACCCCTTTGGCGGTCAAACGACCCTTTCACAGGGGTCACCTAAGACCATCCTGCATATCAGATATTTACATTACAATTCATAACAGTAGCAACATTACAGTTATGAAGTAGCAACGAAAATAATTTTATGGTTGGGTCACAACATGAGGAACTGTATTTAAAGGGCCAGAAGGTTGAGAACCACTGATTTAGAGAACTCAAATTTCTATTATTTGTAACAAGGCATTTATTTATTTTAAAAGAAGAAGGTATTTTGAATAAAACTTGTTAAACCAGAGCCTTAGTACAAACAGACCCATGAAGGAATAATTTTTAGATTTTTAAAAGGAGGTCGTGGTACTCACATGGTCTGGCATGTACATCTATAGACAAAGAGAAACCTAATGGTTGATCATCTTAACAGGAAGCAAAGCAAAATGTAAGAGGAAAAAGCCTTTCTTTTAAAACTTTAAAACTCTGGAACTAAAAGTAAAGAATCTATATATTTGGTTTACAATTCTTTTTTAAAGCCAGGGTCAATACATGGATTTTTATATTCTGTTTCGAACTTTTTTCATGAGCTTGAGAATTTTAAATGAAAATTTCATTCCCCCAGAACTCAATTTAAACCTAGGTTAACCATCCTGGAGCTTCAGCAAAGCATGCACAGGTCTAGGTATTGGTTCTCTGACAATAAATACTGAGGGACTTAAGACTCTTTCCAATATCTTTGTATATTGGATGCTTTTCTGCACAGCCTATCAACATGGTTTCCAAGAGTGTAAATTGCAGATAGTTATAATTAATTAGAATTAGGCAAACTCTACCAGTGATCCCCAACTGTCAATCTGCAGACTAGTTACTCTAGATTCTAGAGTCTAGAATCACCTGTGCAAATTTTAAAGTATTAGATTACCTTGGATTCTTTTATTGGAGAGTCTAGACTCTCTTGGTTGGAGTATGGGTCTGGGGTATGGCCCTAGACCAGTGATGGCGAAACTTTTGAGCTCGGCGTGTCAGCATTTTGAAAAACCCTAACTTAACTCTGGTGCCATGTCACATATAGAAATTTTTCATAGTAAAACAAAGATTTATAGTTTTGATATTTATTTTATATATTTAAATGCCATTTAACAAAGAAAAATCAACCAAAAAAATGAGTTCGCGTGTCACCTCTGACACGCGTGTCATAGGTTCGCCATCACTTCCCTAGAATCTGGTTTTTTGTTTGTATTTGAATAGAAAATTCTTCCTGGGTAATTCTGATAAAACGCTAGGCTCAGGAATAGGATAAGTGATATTAAGATTTCACTGAGTATCGAAATTCTATTCATGTTGGAGTTGTACCTAAAGTCTTGCTGACTATTGATAATTTCCCATACTTTTAGCCTCTGAAGTAGCTCAAGCAAAAATTGAGTGTTACATTTGAGTACTTATCAGTATGGTAGAACTTTTTACATCATAACAAGATATATTTTCCATTTTCTTGATAAGTAATTGTTCAAATGAATGGATATAGCTGTTTTTCAAGAGGTACTTATTCCAAGTGTGAGACCCAGTAATGTCCTTGGCACCTATTGTCACACTGATACACAAAACATGAAACTGAAATTTTAGGAGGTTACATAACTTACTTAAGCCCATGAGAATTGTATTGCTAAATGTTAAAATTTGGTTCACAATGAATTTTATCAAATGTAATAAATACAACTTATAGCATCTCTTTTTTAAAAGCATGTTGTTTCAACCACTCAGAAGTATATACTTTTAAAACATCCAGGAAAATGTTTTCCAGAAATAGAATATCTGAATTAAATTCATTTTGTTGCACGCAAAACATATCCTACAAGATAATTAAAGCTTTTCAAGACCTAGAATTTATACTTTTCTGAAAAACAGATAAATCTTCTTTTATTATTTACTGATAAGAAAGAGAGAGAGATAAATTAATTTGTTCCATTTATTTTTGCATTCATTGGTTGATTCTTGTTTGTCCTTGACCTTGGATCAAACTCACTACCTTGGAATATAGGGATGATGTTCTAACCAACTGAACTACTGGGCCAGCGCGAGATAAATCTTCTTTATTTTGATGCAGCACAGAAATATTTATTAAAACGATTTTCAATACCATGATGTCAGTTTGGGATAATATCTTAGTGTGAAGTTATGCTCTAAAAATAGGTTACTATTATTGGCATCTATCTCTTTTTCCCTTGTTCTCGGGTTTGTGATTCAAAATTCTTAATAAGATGATATGGTTTTAGAAGTTTGTCTTTACCATTGCAAATAAATTTACACTGTTCGAACAGAATGAACTACATATCAAATTTAAGGAAGTTACAAGAAGAATTCGGTGGCTCTCTAGCAATTAGATGACCATAATTTGTCTTGAATAAGGATGTCATTTATACCAAAGGATGTAATAATATTCCATGCAATATAAACATTGTTGTTGTAACTCTGTTGCCGAATGACTTGGTGATATTTATCTTTGTACCTGTTTATTATAAATATTTCACAGGAGCCATGTCCTATGCTGAATTGGGAACAAGTATAAAAAAATCTGGTGGTCATTACACATACATTCTGGAAATCTATGGCCCATTACCAGCTTTTGTACGAGTTTGGGTGGAACTGCTCATAATCCGGTAAGTGCATAAGCAGGAAAAAAAAAAAAAAGGAAAAATAAACCTGTTCATTACACCCTTCTTTGAATTACCATGATTATTTTAACCGAATTAAAACATGCATGCCATGTGACTATGCTGTAAATATGTCTACTTCAGGACACAAAGTCTGTGATGAAATACCTTTCTCAATTAATGTTTTAAATGCAGTTTTGCCACAGGCAGTAGTTTGCCAACCATGCCAAACTTTTTAACAGCTGCTTTTCTTCAATCTTCAATTATTCCTTATGACATTTCAGGAAAGATGTTAACCTGAAAGGACATGAAGCATCAAAATCCACCTGGATAGCCCTAGTCAGTTTGGCTCAGTGGATAGAGCGTTAGCCCACAGACTGAAGGGTCCGGGTTCGATTCTAGTCAATGTCACGTACCCCAGTTGCAGGCTCAATCTTGGTTGGGGCCATGTAGGAGGCAACAAATTAATGTGTCTTCCTCACATCGATATTTCTCTGTGTGTGTGTCTCCCCTCCCTTCCAATCTCTCTAAAAATCAATGGAAAAATATCCTCAGGTGAGGATTAACAAATCCAGCTTGATAAATCACATCTTTTGACCAGCCAGACAAAATGAAGCCCTAGGCTAGAAACGGGAGTTGTCATTCTGGTGGATTACACCACTAAGGCATTTCACTTTCCTCAGTTTTTGTGACTAGGAACATTCCGTGCTTCTTCACAACTTAGTGTGTCACCAAGTTTACGGCTTTATAAAGAAATAAGATTTTACTTGATACAAATGACTCACATCCTCACGTTAAACAAATCAGTAGACTACAGTTGCGAAAATCTTTTCTGACTTTACTCTTGTAGCACTGTGTTCCTCTTCCCGAGACTCTGGGTTTAGAATCAAGCCCAGTTGTGCTAAGTCACCCTGACTAGAAAGTTCCTTCCAACTTCATGGGAAACTTATGATGTCATTTAAAGTATCCCAATTCCTTAAGTTTAATTGCTTTCAGAAAACACGACCTGCACATTCTGATCACAGAGTTTAACAGAAATAACTAGGAAAACTTGTTCTTCCTGTAAACGTACCAGTAACACACACCTGAGAGCTCATGAGCTTTTATCGTATCTAAATGGCAAAGACAACACTGATTTATAAGCATTGATTTAACACTAATCTTGATTTTTATAGTCCTAGGAGTCTCTTTTAACAAAGACCTTCAGAGTGCAATTTACTTCTTTGATAAGTCTGTTCTCATTTTAAACAATTCTACATCATTTAAAACTTGTTATAATGAAAAAGAACTACTTTGTTCCTTTTATAAAATCTGGGATTTTCCCAGAATGTGCCTTCCACTCTTTTCTGGTGATCTAAATCTTACTCCTCAAAGGTCAACTTAAATTCCGTCTTTTTCACAGTTAATTTCCTGTTCACCCTAGTTGACGGTCTTTCTTCTCTAATTCTTGTGAAACGTGCAGTCTCTGCTTCTCCTTTGATGTTGAACATACTATCTGTATTCTTACTTCATATTTTAGAAGTCTGTGTTCTGGTTCCCTGTTAAAATTGCCAGTAATCATCTGTAAAACATAGATTTAAAGGAAAAATATCACACATCAGTACAAAGCAGGGGCCATTAGATTGAATTCACACATTCACCATATAGTCAATATTTATTGGGTTTCTATTACATGATAGACATTATACTGAACACTGGGGATAAAATAGTGATTAAGATGGACACAGTTTTATATGCATGGAGCTCAGGGTCAGTGAGGGAAATAGTTATCAATCAAGAAATCACATAAGTGAATGTAAAGTTGCTACTATGATAAGCACTGTGAAAAGGAAGCCAAGGGGTTCACTAAGAGGGTATACCAGGGAGATCTCACACAGAGGATTGGAGGAAGATTGAACTAGATCTGAGCCATAAAAAACTATCCAAGAGTTGCAGGGGCTCCAGGCAAAGGGTATGCGGATCCTTCTAGTGGGAAGAAGCTAACTGAAGGAAAAAGGGAAAGTTTACACTAGCTGGAGCCTGGAAATGAAGGATTTTTGCATATCTGGAGCATGCTTTGAAAGCACTAAAATGACATGATCAGATTTTAATTTACACATCAAAAGACTTATAAATGATGGAGTGCTGGGGTCCAACCCCAGCAGGTCCAGGGGTCCCCAAAGGTGTGGACGGAGTCGGCGAAGAAGGAATGACACGGAGGCAGCATTCAGTTGATCAGCAGCCTAGCCAGGAACTCTAGCCAGGATCTCCAGCCAAGCTCTGTCCAGGATCTCCAGCTAAGTTCTATTGCCAGGTTTTCTAGGTTCTCCAGCTAGGTTCTGTAGCTAGGTTCTCCAGCCAGGTTCTATCCAGGTTCTCCTGCCATGTTCTGTCTAGGTTCTCTAGCCAAGTTCTGTAGCCAGGTTCTGTCCAGGATCTTTTGCCATGTTCTCTCTCTAGGTTTTGTCTCTAGGTTCTGTGTAGGATCTCCAGCCAAGTCCTGTCTCTAGGTTCTGTCTCCTGTTGTCTTGTTACATCTGTATTTATACCAGTTGATTTTAATCCTATCAATTTCTATTCCAAAATTTCTATTCCAAAGGTTAGGGTGTTTCTTATCTCCATTCCAGGGAGTAAAGATTATGTAGCTTAAGTGTGATTGTTTGTAGTTAAAGTGATTAACTACCCGCCTGGCACTTAGTTAAGGGGTTTTATCTCCTCCCTAACTTCAGGGGAAAATCCCTACCTGGGGAAACAACCTTTCTCGGAGAGGTGACCTTGGTTAAAACACATAGCGCTAAGGGGAGCAAACATATTAAGAACAGTATGCTATATACGCCAGGTCCCTTGAAACATATGCTGTGCAGACGTTTCTTCTCTGCAGCGACTGTGTCAAGCAGCAAGGATGGACCGGCTCCCGGCAATGGAGAACAGGAAAAATAGTCCTGTTTTGGAGTAGAAAGAGGGTCTCCAGGAATAGAAGGATGTCAGAGTTGTAGTGCTGTCTGGTACCAGCAGGCCACACAGTCTAGGGCAGTGATGGCCAACCTTTTGAGCTTGGCGTGTCAGCAATTTGAAAAAACCTAACTTAACTCTGGTGCCGTGTCACATATAGAAATTTTTTGATATTTGCAACCATAGTAAAACAAAGACTTATATTTTTGATATTTATTTTATATATTTAAATGCCATTTAACAAAGAAAAATCAACCAAAAAAATGAGTTCGCGTGTCACCTCTGACACGCGTGTCATAGGTTCGCCATCACTGGTCTAGGGACTGGGTGTGGGTGTTGGGTGACCACGGGAAAGAGGAGAAGCTGGAAGGGAAAATTGAGAAATTACATAACCCCATGGCTTGTCTGTGTATCCAAAGAATGAATATATATATATTTAAACTAAAAAGACATGTATAATTTTAAGAGAAATATTTGAAGAATTAAAAATGAAAAGGCCTATTACCTATTTTGCTATATACCTATACATATTTCATTTTCTTATTTCACACATATTTTCTCACTTGTGTAAAATTACAAGAGTATTTCTATTTTTTAGCTTATACTTTGAATCTAAATATTTCCATGGAATTATGGAATTAAGAATAATCACTTGGCTCTTCAAGTTTTTGTCCATACTGGAAAAGTAATAATAGTGTCAAGTTTGTAGGCATATATTTACAATAAACACTTACTCATTTTTTGTTGAGTTTTGTGTTCATTTACCTGACCATGCCCCATCCCATTAGATATGCACTGTTAACACATTCTTTCTGTGGCTTTAGTGAGAAAGAAGCCTGCTTTTGGTGAAGCTCAGCTCTGTCAGGATCTCAAGTAATAAACTAGACCTTTAAGGGGAAAAAGGGCAAATATGGGAGAACAGAGCCTTGCTCACAAAGAAATGGGAAGTTTAAAAACTATCCACCAAAGTTATTGACAAAATTTCATTTGAAATGTTGGTGACAACCTAATCAAATATGTAGTTCTGAAAATTATAAACTCTCATGTTTAACATGTTCCATGTGCTTGAATAAAAATACCTCATAGTAGAAAAAGTCTATTGAAGATGCTATTTTTTTTCTGTGGTAACCTAAATATATATGTTTTCTAGCCCTGCAGGCACTGCTGTGATATCTCTGGCATTTGGACACTACTTCCTGGAACCATTTTTTATTCATTGTGAAATTCCTAAACTTGCAATCCAGCTCATTACAGCTGTGGGCTTAAGTGAGTATGAATATGAAAAACAAAAACACACCACAAAAATGATTGGAGATAGTTTCTTCAGACTTTTTACATGGTCGAACCTACTTCCCACATCATGTTCGTTTTTTGCTTATAGTTCCTTGCCAAATTTGTGTTGGAAAAAATAGTATTTGGAGAAATACCCCATTATATTACATGTCAGTTTTCCATTGGCGCAATATCCAGGATAGCTAATCGTTTAAAAGGCAAAGAAAAACCACCTTGTTGGTAAAATAGAAATTGGTTACATGGGGAGGAAAAACAATTACAGATGAAAACCAAATTATTTTTTTAAATATATATTTTATTGATTTTAGAGAGGAAGGGAGAGGAAGAGAGAGAAGCATCAGTGATGAGAGAGAATCATTGATTGGCTGCTTCCTGCACACCCCACATTGGGGATAGAGCCCGCAACATGGGCATGTGCCCTGACTGGTAATTGAACCATGACCTCCCGATTCTTAGGTCAACACTCGGCCAGCAGGGGAAAAACCCAATTATTTTATGGATTTTTAATATTAGAAATTCTCCTTCCTCAGTGATAAAACATGCTGAATTATAACTCATTTATCCTCATGGAGTGATATGTATGTGTTGGGTGTGTATGTTGTGTTCATACATTTTATGGTGTTAGCAGCTGTCTCAGTGTTATGGGTTTAGTTGCCCATTGGTAATCACGATGAGTCTTCTTTCTATATTTGATTATTAGTAGCATTTCTTAGCTAGGAGTTTTCTTTACAATCTTCAAATTAGTAACTTGCTCATTTTTATCAAGGGGCACAGGTCATAGAAAATTTATAGAAACAAATAAAAAAAGGATTTTGCACAACATTACATAAGTGATATAAAAGCCAAGTATGACTAAGTTTTTAGAAGGGTGTAGCTTCCAAACCTTTGACTCTTACTGGAAACGATAACTTAATTCTAGATGCTAATTGAGTCAAACTATTTTAAGAATCAAAATTTGATTATTTAAATTACTCAGAAATAGAAAGCTACACAGAAATAACTGAACTATATACTCATAGAATTTTTAGTTATGTGTAGCTCAGGTATTTCAATGGAACAATGAAGAGGATGAGGACGATGCACATTTGATAGCACAGAGGTGAGTGGTTAGTTTTCAGGAAAGAGGAATTACACATAAAAATGTGGTGGTGGTTATAGCTCAGGCTCTGGAGGCCAGCAACCTGGAATTGAAACTTCATGTCTCAACTGCTTAGTTGTGTGATTTGGGCCTAAATATTAAACCACTTTAAGCATCAGTTTTATTTATTGGTAAAACACCTATGAAAAGATCATTTATCTTGAATGGCTGTAGAAAGATGAAGCTATGTCAAATGTTGAAGGCCTTTAGCAGAACTGCCCATAGAAAATTCTTGATAAATCTGATATTCCACTATGGGACACACTAAAAGCCAATGTTGTGCCCATTCTATTCTTTTCTCTGGATTGACTGAGGCAGAATCATACTATAATTATTATATTTGAAAAGAGTAAGGTAAGTGTAGAATTTTTGAGGGCTCTATAAATTGCCAATAGAAGTTACTAATTAAAAACCATAGCTAGCAAACTTTAAATACATTCTATGTAAACATTTACAAATCCACAAATATTGCTCACTTTGGCCTGGAAATAAGCTGGACAAAGGTTAATACATTACTATTTTGGGAAGTCTAGGTGACTATTTTCTTATTTACTCAAATTCTATTAAATAATTTTAAGGGAAAATTTGAATTTTAGGGAAGTTAATGGTAACCGTACAAATCAAAATTTTAAAGCAATTATATTTAAGAATAACTAAGCATGTTATAGTTTGCAAAACTTCTTTATGTAGTAGAGATTGGTGACCGAATAGTTAACAAAGAGTCGTAAATCTTTGATGAAGCTAGACATTCCCTTCTATTTCTGCTATTAGTTATAACATTTGTTTACAAATTCTGATGTTCTTTTATAAGCTTGAAATTTTGAGGAAATGTGTTCCTATAATAAGAAGCACTAAAAGAGAAAAAAAAAAAAAAAACCCGGATATTCTTATGACTCAGTGGGAGGTAATGTAAGTCAGTGGCTAATTGGGAAAGTCAAACTCCCTTTGAGAAGAATTTAGCTTTAATGGAGCAACGGGAACTGGAGCTGGCAATAGAGAAGGAGAAATTCACGTGGGGGCAAATTTCTCACAGTCTGCATTATTCAAAGTTAAGATAGGTGACTTTCTGCCTGCTGGGGGTGGAAGGTTAGTGAGAAGTAGAAAGTAGAGTTTAATTGTATGAACTGCTTCTTATATTCCCTGGGGAAGGAAATCATTTGTGGTATTTCAATATAGAAGAGCAAACCTGAAGGGTTGTGTTATAATCCAATCACAGAAAAAAAAATGAATTTCAAGTTTTTTGAAATGTTAGCCAACCATTTAAGAAATGAGAGTGGGGTGGGGATGGAGAGTTACTGAATGCTAATTTGCTCCTCATCCCCCTTTAAAAAGTACAGAGGTCCCTGACTTAACAGTGGTTCGACTTACAATTTTTATTTTTTTAAATATGTTTTTATTGATTTCAGAGAGGAAGGGAGAGGGAGAGAGTAATAGAAACATCAATGATAAGAGAGAATCATTGATCGGCTGCCTCCTGCATGCCCCCATCTAGGGATCGAGCCCACAACCCAGGCATGTGTCCTTGACCATGATGGAACATGGGACTATTCAGTCTATAGGCCAGTGGTCTATCCACGGAGCCAAACCGGCCAGGGAGACTTAGGATTTTTAGACTTTATGATGATGCTATAATGATTCACACTGTGGACGAAAGGGGCCACATGCTAACCTGACTAGCTCAGGGAAGGCCTACATGGCGGTCTTGCAAACTCAGAGACCTAAAGTAACCACAAAGGATGGTCTGAAATTAAACTTTAACTAAAAGCAGTTATAGTGGGTAGTTACATCCTAGGCCAGTATCCTCACTGACAAGGTCAACCTTTACCTTAACTGAGCCTATCTGTCTTTTTGCATCTATGATAACATATCCTTGAAATGTCTGGGTAACTTGTAACTTCCCTTTTTCTGGATCCCCTGGGGCACAACCAAATGTGCCTGGGCTCCAGGACAGATACCACAAATTCCTTCATTGTTATCATGTTCATTGTTCCTGCACCCACCTAAGTATGTGTCTATCATTTTACTTTTTATCCAATCCCAGAGGTTTCCCCACTTTGCTTTCTCCTGCCTCTCTAGTCTATCACCAGTGGATTTCATGTAACTCACCTACATCCCTTTCCTTTGATTGCAATGTATAAATACAGATGTAACCCGCCATTCTCGGGAGCATTATCTCCATTCATTGAGGTTCTGCTTCCTGGCTTATGTCGACAGTTTGGCTCAAACAAACTCACAAAAATTCTTTACAGGTTTCAATGTTTTTTATGTTAACATTACTAAGTAGAACCCAAACTTCAAATTTTGATTTTAATAATTTTTTACTATATTCTGAGCATATTTAAGGTAGGCTTGGCTAAGCTATGATGTTCAGGAAGTTAGGTGTATGAAATGCATTTTCGTCTTAGAATATTTTCATCTCACAAAGGATTTATCTGGTTGTAACCCTATGGTAAATACAGGAGCATCTGGGCTCTACTTCATTTCTGTCAAATTAATAAGGATGAGAAGCTGTGTTTATTCAAAGCCCTCTCCATTGGGGTAAACATGTGAGTCACATGGAAGTGTAACTGGGAAATCTTATATTCAAGTTTGGCATTCCCCTCTTTCCCAATACTGACATTACTCCCTTTACCTTCGGTGGAACCCCACGAATTTTCACTGTTTTTGTAGTTTCAAGAAGCACTGATATGCATATGTTGAATATTTAAAATGATATTTTGTTTGTTGTTCTGGTCTCATGAAACTAAATCCTAAATAAGCATACACTCTAAAGGAAGAATAATATAATAAAAATATTTTTTCAAAATGTGAGATCTACTCCCAGATCCAACCCTCACAACCTCTCTGAGTTTTTGAGTTTAGTTTATGTAGGTGAGTAGACAGCCCTGCCCAGCTTCTCATACTTGTGAGAATAATTAGGGGAAGCAAACAAATTAAAAATAACATGTGATTGCATTGTAAGAAAAAATTAGCCAGTTCTACAAATGCAGTACTGTATTTTCTTTTCTAAAACTGTATTTTCCTGGCATCAGTAACTTACATGAAAGAAAATCTAGGACCAGTTCTGTGCTAGCATTTCTAATATAGCACGTGGAGTGGATTTGTTTTATCTTCTGAAGTCTGGCTGTACTTATTCCTTTTCTACCATAACTAAATTACCAAGACAGCCAAGTCTTAGGTAGATATGCATAGTATTTAAATCAGGGGTCCTCAAACTACGGCCCAAGGGCCACATGCAAATACAAATATTGTATTTGTTCCCGTTTTGTTTTTTTACTTCAAAATAAGATATGTGCAGTGTGCATAGGAATTTGTTCATAGTTTTTTTTTTAACTATAGTCCGGCCCTCCAACAACGGTCTGAGGGACAGTGAACTGGCCCCCTGTTTAAAAAGTTTGAGGACCCTTGATTTAAATACACAAGTACTGCAGACAACAACCATTTTCTTCAGGAGGATAACAATGAAATGTGTCACTGAAGTGTCCCGAAATCCCAGCCAAGACAAACATGAACTTTAGCAGAGTCGGGGAGTCGCCAGGAGTTTGGAAGAACCAGGTGTTCTAGTGAGATCATATTCTTTGAGCTACTTCCTCCTTGTTACCTAGGAACTAGTGGCAAAAGTGAGGACTCTGAAGGCAGTCTACCTTGGCTCCAATCCTATCTTCACCCTTACCTATGTGAACTTAGGCATGTTCAATAATGTCCTGAGTCTTATCTGAAAAATAAGGCCAGTGATGGTAACCACATCATAAAGAGGTGAAGATTAAATAACATATCCATGTCAAGTCTTTGCACTATGTCTGCCATGTAATAATAGTTTGCACTTGTGACCAGC